GTCCGTGCACGTGACCAGAAACCAGGGCCCAGTTCCCCTACAAGCATGCAGACTACCACGTCAAGGTCACAGACCGTTACTCTGCGTGCGGGAGACACGATAAGATAGCGTGAGAATGGACGTGGCGTGGACAGGGACCAATCAATAATTGCCACCCTTCCGCCCCCCCACCAAGTAAGCCCATTTATGCGTAGCTGACGCTTGCTGTTCTTTCATTTACTCTGACGAAGGCTTCTCGTGTGGAGCCGAAAGCTCAGAATGAAACTATCGTCCCAGAGATCGCGTCTTCCTCTTCTTTATAAATGTCCACGACTGAAGACAATTTATCGAAAGCAAATGTGTGCTTGCAAATTTATCTTTTTTACATTTTCAATGGCAATTTTCACAATTTAACGTTTACTTTACAAAGAGGACATAAAACAACAATAAATTGAATAATACAGTCACCAAACGCAGGAGCATCATCACTGTTCGTAGAGCATATGCCGTACAACCAGCCATCACAATGACCCCTAGGAATTCACGCGTAATTTGTAAGTGTCTAAATGAGCCTCGACTCTGTGCGCAACCAAGGGTATTTCATGAATGATCTGACCACCGCGTATCAGCCTCTCGCGGACCCAAATCAGGTCTGACAGACTACCAGCCTTATCCTGTCCCTTGCCGTAGAAGGGGCTATGTTCAACAAAGGCGTACCGGCGCGCTAGTTTAGTGCAGGCTATTGACCGTTTTCGCATGCCATTCTCAAATGGGTGAGACCATCCGAAGGAGGAGCAGTGAAAATCCTTGGGATAGGACTGCGTAAGAACCGAGAAAGCATGCCTTGGCGCTGGAACCCAGCGTTTGTAGAATGGTCGGAATATCAATGGGAAAACATCAGACTTTGGATGTATATCGCGCTTGCCATAGGATGATGCGCGCTCTTGGATATGAGTCGCGTTAGATAGGAAGTATCCGATGTCAATGGACGGCCAACCCCAGTTATATGCACTCAGTTTGCGACTACCTTCGACATCCCGCGCAGTATTGCTGGGTTCAATTAATTTTGCGTATAATTTGTCCCTTAATCCAGCTTCCCCAATTATAATTTTGGGGGCGAGCGTGCTGAACTTCTTCCATAACATCGGTCTCACTTCGAAATCCACGAGAACATCCAGGTCATCATCCCAGGGCGTAATATCGTGGTGACGAAGAGATCCAATCAGACTACCAGCATAGATCATCCATTTGTCACTCAGACCAAGCTCCTCCATGCCATCTTCAAATATACTGAATAGTTTCCAAGTTATACGCATTTGTCCACGACTGAAGTGCGGTTTCAGAGGGACTTCGCGGCTGCCCGGAGCACCCATTGGAAGGGATAAAAATTCCCGTTTCGGCCAGTCTATATTCTCCAGATTTGGCAACTTCTGACGCTTCAATTTTTTGCGATTGCTATCCACGACAAAACTCTGCAGATCCAAATGTGCTATGCTCTTTTGAGAAGGATGGCTGGCATAGCGTGCTTTTATGATTACACTAATATTAAATGAAATGTACGCAATCATGAGGGTGGCAAGCACAATCAAAACAAGCCGTAGTAGATGCATTTTGTTCCACTGTTTGTCCTGGTTCTGTTTTCCTTTTAAGAGGAAAAAAACAACCAGTAGAAAAAAATGTGCAGCGGAGATAATGCAACGTTAAATGCAAGTCATGCAGTAACAAGGCTGATGTAATCGAACAAATCTCGGCAAAAGTAGCTTATGTAGTCCCACTCATTAATCCCTACTTCCACCATACTGTCCTACAAAAATGGCAGTTATAGGTTTTTTTGGGTGGGAAACTAGGATACACAGTAAAATATACTTTAATAACTGCTATATGCATTTTTATTTT